TCTACCCAGTCATGCGTCCTGAAAATGTGCTTCTATGTTATTTCCTAGAAGTTTTATAGTTTTATGCTTATATTTTAGTCAGTGACTCCTTTTGAATTAATTTTTGTATAATGTGTGAAGTGTACGTTGACTTTCATATTCTTTCTTTTTTTTTTTTTTTTAAATTTTTTTTTTTCAACGTTTTTTATTTATTTTTGGGACAGAGAGAGACAGAGCATGAACGGGGGAGGGGCAGCGAGAGAGGGAGACACAGAATCGGAAACAGGCTCCAGGCTCTGAGCCATCAGCCCAGAGCCTGACGCGAGCCTGACGCGAGCCTGACGCGGGGCTCGAACTCACGGAGCGCGAGATCGTGACCTGGCTGAAGTCGGACGCTTAACCGACTGCGCCACCCAGGCGCCCCTTCTTTTGGACACATACCTAGAAGTGGAATTGCTGGGTCATATGGCAATTCTGTGTTTAGCTTTTGAGAAACCATGAAACTTTTCCACAGCAGCCAAACCATTTTCCGTTCCCACTAGCAACGCACAAGGGTTCCCATTTCTCCCTGTTCTTGCCAACACTTGTTATCTTCTGTGTGTGTATGTGTGTTCTAATAGCCATCCTAGTATGGTAGCTGTGAGGTAATATCTCATTGTGGTTTGCATTTCTCTAATTACTCATAATGTTGAGCATCTTTCCATGTGCTTTTTGGCCATCTATAGATCTTCTTTGGAGAAATGTCTATTCAAGTCTTTGCCCTTTTAAACTTGGGTTGCTTTGTTGTTGTTGTTGAGATTTAGGAGTGCTTTATATATCCTGGATATTAATTCCTTATTAGATACATTATTTGCAAATATTTTCTCCCATCCTGTGGGTTGGATTTTGCTTTCCTGATAGTATCCCTTAATGCACAAAAGTTCTTCCTTTTGATGAAGTCCAATTTATCTATGTTTTCTTTTATTGGCTGTGCTGTTGGTCATACCCATGAAACTGGCACCAAATCCAATGTCATGCAGATTTTCTCCAATACGTTCTTCCTGAGAATTTAATAGTTTTGGCTCTTAAATTTAGGCTTTGATCTATTTTGAGTTCATTTTTATACATTGTGTATGGTAAGTATACAACTTCATTTTTTTGGCATATAAATATCCAGTTTTCTCATTACTGTTTATTGATAAAACTGTCCTTTCCCCTTCGAATAGTTTTGGCATCCTTGTAGAAAATCAATTGGTCATATATGTGAGGGTTTGTTTTTAGGCTCTCTATTCTATTCTATTGGCTGTCTGTATGCCAGTACCATACTGTTTTAATTACTGCAGCTTTGTAGTAAGTTTCAAAGTTGGGAAGTGTAAGTCTTCCAATTTTATTAATCTTTTTCAAGATTGTTTTGAGACCCTTGAAATCCTGTATGTGTTTGAAGATTGGCTTTTCTATTTCTGTGAAAAAGACTGTTAGAATTTTGATAGGGATTGCATTGAATCTGTAGGTTGCTTTGGGTACTATTGGCATCTTAACATTAAGTCTTCCTATCCATGAACACTGAGTGTCTTTCCATTTATCTAGGTCTTTAATTTCTTCAAGCAATGTTGTGTCGTTTTCAGTGTACAAGTCTCTTACCTCCTTGGTTAGATTTATTCCTATGTATTCAATTCTTTTAGCTGCTCTATAAATGGAATTGCCATCTTAACTTCCTTTTCAGGCTGTTTACTGCTTATGTATAGAAACACAATTGATAACATATCATTTTTTTGTGAAGGAGGAAATAGGGGCTTAGAATAAGTTGTTCAAAAATGTCCTTGGCTAGTAAGGTCCAACTCAGGTCTCTAACTCCATATCTGTTGTGCTGCCTCTCTGAGGAGGTAGCTTACCTAGCCCCTTTCCCAGATTGTCCTTTCTCTCTGACTTGACCCCTAGTTACAAAATAAGAAACACTAGAAGGAGAAGAAAATGGAGCGCTGCAAAATTACGCCCTAAATTCTGGCCGGTGTGACAATTGAACCATAAGAAGGCAACCAAGTTCTCAAAGATACCATCGATATTCCATAGACAGCTTCAGGTTCATTCTTTGTAGTGGAGGGCACAGAGGCAAACGACAGAGAGTCAACGTTGAACGTGTAACTTTAAAATGCCAAAATATTTGGTGAGCATAACTCAGAAATCAAGAAGCTACTTGTAGCAAATCAAATACCGTAATGCATTTTCAACACAGGGCAGTTTCTCATGGCCCTGACAGAAGGACTGTGTCACGGCATGTAGATGGGGTTCCGACTCTTGAGGAACTGAGGGTGGGGGAGACTCAGGCTCAGGAGAGAGACACTCTGCAGCCCTGCCACCAGGTTGGAGACCAGAAGTGTGTCAAGTAACCCTGAAGAGCCTCTAACGGAGATGGCAGGTCTTGGTATGCCTACAAGAGGGGATGGATGAGTTTGTCCAAGACCCTGGATGCCATTCAGGAACCACTAGGGTCTCTTCCCCAGTCCCCACTGAGCACTTGTCTTCCTCTCCCAAACCCGCTGTCTGACTCCACTTTCTGCTGTTTCTGCACGACAGCACTGGCACTTTAAATGTGGAGCCGTGACTATTGTTGCAGCTGCCACTGATGGGAACCTGGCCCAGTAGCTGTGCTCAGTGCTGTGAGAATTGTCTCAGTCTGCTTTCCTGCTGCCCTTTGCCTAGGCCAGCAAGATATCCAGAAAGGAATGCGGAAGCCTGGTAAACAGAAGTATACTTCTATGTGTACTTCTGTTATGCATACATACACACATGTGCGCACACACACACACACACACACACACACACACACAGAGTTGAGGAATTAGAATATCTTCTCTCTCCTCCCGAAGGGAAGAACATTCTGGCCAGAAGAGAACACCTTAGGATCTTCTCCATTTACCTTCTTCTATCTCCAGTGTAAAAGTAACTATATTGCAGTGATGTATTCTTCCTCACACCTGCCAAGAAACACCAGACGAGGAATGGTAGCGTCTTCGCACTTAATGAATTACTAACATTTTTAGATAGAGAGGTAAGGAGTTGCCCGAGCATGTCCATAGGCTCCTTCTAATACGTGGAATATCGCACAGAGCTTCAAAACGGCCGCACTAACAGCCAGTTAAAAAATAAGTGGAGAAAGTTCACAAAGCAAAATGTCAACGTGGTATCATGTGAATTTCTCTGTGGCTCAGACTTTGGACAGGTTATAGCAGCATTTCATTTATATCACAGAAGAATTAATCAAGGAGGTAACAATGTTTAAGTGATTTTCCAGCGGGAATCTTATGCTCTAATGACACAGTCTATTCCCACTTCTTCCATAAATCACTAGTGACTTCCCTTAGAATGGTCGCTTGCCTCCAGCATCTTGCCCTTCATACAATCCTCACGTTGCCTGATTAATGTTCTTAAGCATATCACTCCTCCGATCAAAAATCTGCACTGTTTCCTTGTTGCCAATAGAATTAAACCTTAATGCCTCCATGTGGCATTTGAGTCTTCTTACCAATCATTTCCCCTCCTTATCCTCTACCACGTCCTGATTGCCAGGCCAGTCGTGCTCTGGGGTATATTACAGTTTCCTCCATGCGTAACGCCAGCTCTGCTCCTCTCTACTTTCCTAACTCCTCCTTTTCATGCTTCAGGGCTGGCTTCAAATCCCACTTCCTCCCCTTCTACCCACACCAACCTCTCCCTGCTATAAATTCCTATTGCACGCTCATTGTACGCCTCACTTTGGCAGTTTACTTAAGTGATTAATATGCCTGTCTGGATGCCTTGTGACTACAGAAAATAGAATAAGGTCCCTGCCCTGGTGGAGAAGGCTTTGCTACTTTATTATGATATATTACTATCTCCTGAGGGCAAGACTCTCTCCACAGTGAAATGCAAGTTCTCAAGTTCTGCAAGGATACCATGCTTATTATGGTGCTATCTATGTACATCTAGGATTTCAGAAAGATTTGCTAAATTGAATTAAATCCTCTTTCGGTATCTCTGTCTCTGGGGCTTGCCTACAAATAGAGGCTGTTGCTGAAGTGCACTAGCTAATTTGCTCTTAAACGGCCAAACCTAACAAAACTAGTCTACATCAGCTATGCTGAAGGGGTTAGGGTAGGGGTGAGGAAGGAGAAACCATCCTAGCGTGTTGCAACGTGGGAAAGTTGCTCAGTGTAAGTCCACTCTCCTGGCTGGACCCCTGGCTATAGGTGTCAATTGTCGCACGGTGACTCAAAGCACCACAAGTAAAGGAGTGAGGAAAGGCAAAACGAGCAGAACAGGGAAAGGGAGCAGCAGAAACTTCCTCAGCCAGCATATGAGCAACAAGGGCCATCAAAATGGGATGGCTTCCTTCGACCATAACCAAAGACATGCCAGGGTCAATCGTTGGAAACCACAGTTCACACTTCACACATTTGTAGCAATAAAGGCTGATGTTGGCACGTCTGGTTTCCAGACACCTGCTCTCACAGGTAACAGCAACGGGGCAGCTGCCCTGAGTGACTCTGAGTTCCTCTCTCCCACAGGTCCCGAGTTGGAAGGATTGAGTAAGTGAGTCCCCCAAACCCTGGTTCTCATCCATGGGACCCCGGGACAAGTTGAAAGATCTAACCGAAACCAGAAAAAACTGGCGGGGTTGGGGGACTGGGCAAGGATGCAGAAGAGTCTTCCGCTGACTTCAGACACCACCCCCCCCCCCCCCCCCCCCACCCCGTCCGTGTCTCCCACTGTAAACCAGAAGAGTCTATCTATTCCCTGCAGACTGCCAAGTCGAAAGATCCTCAGGCCGATCAGGTGCCCGCTGAGTCTGGTTGCGGCTCCCAGCCACGATTTCCTCGCATCTCTTGCGCCAGGGCGGCGAACAAGGTCCCCAGAGCCCCCAGGTCCCGGCCCCTCCGGGCGCCCGGGACACTGAAGCTAGCGCTCCTCCTCTCTCGCATCCCCTCCCCTCCTCTTCCCTCCCTCTGCCAGTCCCTCCCCAAGCCGTGGCGGAGGTGGGGCCGGGCTTGGCTCCGCGAGGCCCGTGCATTCCAGAGAGCCGAACGAGCTAGAGCAACAAAGGAGCCGGGGAGTCGGTGGGGAGAAGTCGGGGGTCTGCGGCGCGCTCGGGCGAAGGTGGCGGCTGGGCCGCGGGGCTGGCGCAGAGGCGAAGCCGGGGAGCTATCCCCCACCGCCTGCCCGCGCCTGGCCTCCATCGCGGGGCTGGAAGATAGTTTCAAGAGGGAATGGGGCTGGAGATTGGGGGCCCAGGGGGCTCCCGGGGCTGAAGACAACTTGGATTGCCCGGAGAAAGAGTAGGGAGTTGTGCATCCCGGCCGGGGCCTCCGCCGCCCAACATGGGCCCCGGGTTCCAAAGTTTGCGAAGTTGGGCGCCGAGGGCCCGCGGCTCGCGGAGCGGGCGAGGGGGCCCGGCACCGGATTCGCCGGGCGCACAGGTCGCCTGAGCCACATCCGCGGCCCCAAGGGTTGCGTGTGTGGCCGGGGGGCTCCGGGGAGCGGGCGGGGGCGCCGGGGCTTCTGCTGAGTTGGCGGGTTTGGCCATGGCCGCTGCCCGCCTCGCACTGGGGCCAGGGATCCTGCTCCTGGGGCTGCTGCTGCTGCTGCTGCTGCTGCTGGGGGGCCCAGGCCGGGGGGCGGCCTTGAGCGGGAACGCGACTGGGCCTGGGCCGCGGAGCGCGGGCGGGAGCGCGAGAAGGAGCGCGGCCGTGACCGGCCCTCCGCCGCTGCTGAGCCACTGCGGCCGGGCAGCCTCCTGCGAGCCGCTACGCTACAACGTGTGCCTGGGCTCGGCGCTGCCCTACGGGGCCACCTCCACTCTGCTGGCCGGGGACTCGGACTCCCAGGAAGAAGCGCACGGCAAGCTCGTGCTCTGGTCGGGTAAGCGCGCGGAAGCCGGAGCCGGGGTTGCGGTGGTGGGATGCGGGACTCTGGGCAAGAATAGGCTCAGGCCTGAACGTTGGCGAGGGCAAGGGCTGCACCCGGGAGAGGTGGAGGAACACAGTCTGAAACTGTGGGTGCCGGCTGTAAGCAGGTTGGGACCCTCGGTGATGAGGCGAGACGGTTGAGGGAGCCGGTCACAAAAGGCCTGAGCAGGGTGGGTGCGCAAAGGATGCGGGGGAATGAGGGGCCCATGAGGCAGGGGCTCTGAGCCTCGGGAAAGGATGTTTCTTAAGAAGTGGAGCTGCTCCTCGTAAGCGCTGCTCTGAGAGCGGAGCCCCTGAGGATTCAAGGAGGTGTTTAGATCTTGGAAGACAAACCGGGAAGTGGAGTTGAAGAGGAAAGATGGGCTAGAAGGTTTAGGCAATTGAGGGACAGGATGGGGGGGGAAGAGTTGAGTGAAATTTGAGATGGATAAGAAACCCCCTGGTGTTGAGTAATTAAAAGTTAACCAGAAATTTCCAGAAATCTTGTTTGGGGAGACAGGAAGTCCAGAAAACGGTGATCTTGTCTTGCTATTACAGATTTCACCCTTTCCTCGTCTGAAAAATGGGGACTCTGATCCTTTTCTGAGGTCGTGAAGCAATGAGACTATTCTAAGGATTATTTGTGTATTCTTTGGAAATTTGGATCCTCAGGCTGGTCAGGGCTGCAGAAGGACACTTAAGCCCGGGATATTGAGAGCCTGTGGATACTTCCATAGTGGCCTGAAGTCCCAAAGCCCCCAACCTTAGGTTAGGATTATGGCCAGGCCTAAAAAACCCAAATAAATCCTTCCTTAGCAGTGTGGAGTGGATGATCTCCCCACTTGTCACTCTTCTGGGTTAGGGCCCTGAAGGGGGGTTGGGGAAGGGAACTGGTTTTGTCAGCCCTTGCTTCTAGTCAGTGTGATTTCCAAGCTGTCCATGAAAAAGAAAATCAAAAGTCAGGAGCCAACTTGGCAAGCTCCTTCTAATGTGGCAGGCCTTGGGTGCCCTACATCTCGGTTCCACCCTGGGGGCTGGTGATGATCCTGAAGCGGGGAGCCGAGATATAGGCTGCCTGTCATTGTCAACTTGGCCACTAGAGTTCTGAGTCTTTGCTGAATGTTGGACAAAGCCCTATCATTCCTGGCCTGGTATCATTCTGGCAGATGGCAGAGGAACGTGGAAGATGGTACCCTTGGTGGACCTACATCCTTAGTGGGTATCGGGTTCTAAAGGCAGCGTGTAGGCAGAAACCATGTGTAATCAACAGGAGCTTTGAAAAGTTCATAAGCTACCATAACCTAAGGTGTAGGTAATTTTTGCATATATATTCTTTTTATGGTAATATGTTTGTATAAATGTGTAACACATAATATAGTATATAAGAAGGGTAATACGTAGAAACTATAATTTTAGTCCTTAAAGTTACATAAATGCAAAAGAGCAGAAGACGGAAAGAATTAAAAAAAGGAACACAAAAGAAAGGTGTAAACAGATTTCTCTGAGAAGGTTTGTGTTTAGGAGCCAGTCGTGTGGAAAATACAAATCTCAGCACGAGAATCTCACCCAGTTCTAAGTTGCTCACACTGAGAGGATATCCCCCCTGCCCCTCCTCTCTCTACTTAGTTATTTTGCAGGGGCCCATGGTTGAATTCTCCTAAGTTAAAAGCATGTGTGATGCTGCCCTTCTGTAGTTACCATCAAATCAAGGAGGAAGGGTCTGGACCTCTTTCCAGTCCGTATTCCTGATAGCAGCCGCTGAGCAAGGCAGAAGTGTTTTAGCAGGGAAGTTTAGGAGTTAGAACCATCTGCTGGCTGTGTGGTTTTTTTTTTAATTTTTTTTTCAATGTTTATTTATTTTTGGGACAGAGAGAGACAGAGCATGAACGGGGGAGGGGCAGAGAGAGAGGGAGACACAGAATCGGAAACAGGCTCCAGGCTCTGAGCCATCATCCCAGAGCCTGACGCGGGGCTCGAACTCACGGACCGCGAGATCGTGACCTGGCTGAAGTCGGACGCTTAACCGACTGCGCCACCCAGGCGCCCCTGGCTGTGTGGTTTTGATCCTTACTAGCTGTGCCTCCGGTGGAGTAGGGTCCTGTAGAGGTGCCAGCCTGGGGCTCAGGTTTTTAGTTCATTCGGAATTTTTTCTCTGCTGCCATCATCCCTCAGCTCAGTTACGTTCCCAAGTGTATTCTAGCTGTTCTTTCTGCTTTGGGTCTTTCTGCTAGATGTTCTGGGCGGTGGGGTCGGTGGCGGGTGGAGTAGATCGGAGCCAAGTGTAAGAATCACAGACAGGCCTTTAGCCGGGAGCCTCTGGTGAGTGACTTTTCCCGTCCCGAGTTAGTGGTCTTGATTTGACCATGTCTAGGTGGTCAGTGTCACCTGGCTCTTGGAGGTATTTTTGTGGGTAAAGGATGAAAATGATCTAGGTTGTCTTCATCTGTGACCTCTTGAAGGTAGAGACTTGTTCTTCGCTTTTTTTTTTTTTAAAGCCTCGGAGTTCTGAGTACACAGCCATCCACTCATTCATTAAATTAGGCATTGGGTGCTTGCTGCGTGTCAGCCTGGATCAGGTTCTGGGGCACGTAAAGACGAGGAATACAGACGTGATTCCTGCCATTAAGGGGAAGACACACAAACAGCTTTAGCATTTCCTGGGAGAGGCATTGTGACAGGGTAGGGTGCTGAAGGAACACAAAGGGCAAGGGAAGACCCCCCAGAAGAATTGACATTTAACCTATGATCTGAGAAACAAGTAGGAATTCTTTGGGCCAAGGAAAGGTAGGATAGGAAGGAATAGGAAGAGGAGACGGCATGCAAAGGTGAGGTGAGAGGGCTTACTACTTTAGGAGTATACGATTTTAGTAGAGCTGGATCAAAGTAGGTGAGGGATAGAATTATAAGAGATAAGACCTAGGCAGTTAGAAAATAAAGGGATTCATACCCCATATTAAGAAGTTTGGATGTTATCCAGAAGATAATAAGGAGCCACTAAAAGCTTTTGAGCAAGGGAGAGATGTAATCACCGTTGCATTTTAGAAAGATCTCTTTGAGTATTGTGTGAAGAAGCCACGGGAGGAGGGGAGGCATGGAGCCTGGTTGCTTGTTTAGGGGATGGTATTCCGGGTAAGAGATGGTGGTGGCCACGATGGAGGTGGAGATCCAGGTGAGAGAGGATGGGGCAGCAGGCTGGAGGAAGTGGACCGATCCCAGAATTTTAGAGCTAGAACCCATGGGATTGCTGATGAGTTAGATGGAAGGCAAGAGTGAGCAGGAGGATGTAGGTTTTTCAGGCTCGCGGGGAAGGTGATATCGTTCTCTTCCACTAAGCTGGGAATGCTGGAGGAGGAGTAGGCTTAGGAAGAAAGCCTGGGTTCAGTTGGGCCATGTGAATTAGTGGTGCTCAGTGGACGTGTATGTGGAGATTACCAGCAGATCTGGAATAGGAGTTGCTGAAGAGAGCGGCCACTGTGTTATTCCTCGGCCCAGACTGCTGAGCCTTTTGGAAGTATGCCATTGAGTGAGGAAGTTTATAGCCCAGGCTGGACTGCTTTCTGGATCTGTAAAGAGCTCAGGTCCCTCCTGTATCTTTCAACCCTTTGGACTTGGGCTCATTCAGGCACTCAGCATCTTTCCCCATTACAGCTTGAAATGTCTCTTCTCAGGCATTCCAAGCTGACCAGACAAATATAATATCCAGGCCACAGTCCACCTTGGGCCAAATCTGGTTTGGTAAATGGGGCAAGGAAGCAGAGACCTGTGGCTGCGGAGGGAAATAGGCCCCTGACAGCCAGCACGTAGCCTCCTTGACCACCGCTGTGCTCTGTGTGTGCACAGGGGTGTGTGGCCTTGTCATTCAGCCGGGGGCAGCCAGGAGAAAAGAGCCAGAGAATTCTGGGAGGAATCTCTCTTTTCCTCTCAAGACAATCTGGTTGAGCGATGAGAGGAGGGATGTTGTTGGTGACGCTGGGTTGTTTGCAGGGGCAGACCGGAAAGAATTTCCTTAGAGCTTTTCCCAAACCTGGCTGGTGATCAGAATCAGTTAAGATATGTACATTTGGAAAGGATGAAAATACAGGAAAGCACCTACTGGCTCGAGTTTTACTTTTCCTTTAGATTTTTATTATTTATTTATTTATTTATTTATTTATAAAGATTTTCTTTTTCTTTTTTTGTTTAAAGTTTATTTTTGAGAGAGAGAGAGAGAGAGAGAGAGAGAGGGAGAGGGACAGAGAGAGAGGAGACAGAGAATCTGCTGTCAGTGCAGAGCCCGATGTGGGGCTGGAACTTACGATGCTCGAGATCATGACCCAAGCTGAAGTCAAGAGTCAGACGCTCAACTGACTGAGCCGCCCAGGTGCCTCAATAAAGATTGTATTTTTAAGTAATCTCTACAACCAAGGTGGGACTTGAACCCATAACCTTGAGATCAAGAGTTGTACACTTCACCGACTGAGCCAGCCAAGGGCCACGAGATTTTTAACTTTTCAACTGTGAAATGGCTGCATGTATGCAGAAGGTGCATAAAACACAGGGGCACTTAATAGCAAATAATTATAAAGTGACACCTGAGTCAAGAACCAGATCATGGTGGGGCCCCCCCAAAAGCTCCCCTTTGTCCCTCTCTTTTCTTCTAGAAGTAACCACTACCCTAATGTTTTGGATTATCATTTCCTTTTCCCTCTATAGTTTTGTCACCTAGTTTTGGAATCTTTAAACAGTATATTTTAGTTTTGAGTGTTTTTGAACTTTAGACAAATCGTGATACGTGTATTCTTCTGTCTTTTGTCTTGCTTCTTTTGCTATACCTTGTTTTGTAAGATTCATCCATGTTAGTGCAGGTCGTTTTTTTTCTTTGCCGAATAGTGTTCCATTGTAGAATACATCACAATTTATTAATCCATCTTATTATTGTTAAACATTTAAGTTGTCTCCGGTTTTTGGCCACTGTGAACAACATGGTGGTGAGTA